TAAAGGTTGCTAAGCCTTTATCATTCTAAGCTTGTGATTGGTTATTCATGTCACATGTAGAAGTGTATATAAGGGAGCGTTTCCAAAAAATGGAAAGAGGTGGGTGGGGTGCCACTGTGTTTGATTTATTACGTGAGCAATATCTTAGCAAGTAGAAAAGATAAAATTTTCTTATTTTATACTCTAGCTTTTCAATATCTGTAATTTGAGTTTCTAATTCGTATGAAACTATTTCCTTTATATTTTGATGTCCCAAACATCTAATCTGAACCACTGCTGCAGTCAACATACCACATAACACACAAAAATTGATGTTTATCTGTGTTTTGTTTATATTTACTTTCAAATTAACAAATTGAGTGATGTATAGTTCTAAAATTTGAATTGTAATCTACAGTTTGGTACCAAACTTATTGGCATAAATTCATGAAATAGTAGTTCATGGTTTTTAGGTATTTTTTTGAATGTACTAGGTCGTCAAGACATTAATGTCGCTTTTTTTATATGAATAAACCCAAATTTATATATCAAAACAAAACATCTATTAAATGAAATAGTCTCCATTCTTATCAATGATGCTTTCCCATCGTGCAATCAGGTTGTTTATGTCTTGATTAAAGAAATCACTTCACTTTGAAGCAAAAAACATGTCGACGTCCTCTTTAACACATTCCATATTTGCATATGTTTTCCCATTAAGATGGTGTCACATCTGTAAAATATGGTGGGTGGGGGAGAACTTCCCAACCCAACTCCATAATCTTGTGTTGTGTCAAACGTGTCACATGTGGATGTGCATTGTCGTGGAGAAGAAGAATTCATTTCCGATTAACGAGTGAAGAGCGTTTCTGATGAAGGGCTGGATTCAAACGTTCCAGTTGCTGACTATAGATCTCTGCATTGACAGTTCGCTGTGGATTGAGTTCGAAATGAATTATTCCTTTGATGTCCCACCAAATGCAAAGCATCACTTTCTGCAGATGGAGTCCAGGTTTTGGGGTCGGAAGTAGTTTTTGTCTAAAACTGAGCCATTGTTTTTGGCATTTAATATTTGCATAAAATATCAATTTTTCATCACCAGTGACAATTCTGTCCAAAAACAGTTCAGGTACATTACACGTCAGAAGAGACGAAGCAACATTCACACGGTGAAAAAAGCGATCATCGGAGAGTTCATGAGGCACCCAATCACTTCTTATGGATTTCCATATCCTAGATGTTACATA